GGCCGCGTGGCTAAATCGTTCATGACTTTCGCAAAAATGGCGATTCCGCAAAAACGAAACTTATCAGCGGAATCAGCGTAAAATTCTGCACATGATAAAATGGGTCTCATCCCAAATCATCCCAACTCAAAAAATCTCCTTTTCAGATTGCGTTACTGAAGAGACGGCACACTAAAAAAAAATGACAAATTACGTTGTTTTAATTCTAGGCTTTCTACCATATTATTGCGGGGTTAGAGTGCAGTTTACCCCCCCAGCCGCAACTTTTCAGCCATACGTCCTATTAATGCGCCGAGTATCTCAAAATGTTCGCCGTGGTCGAATTACTATAAAAAAGTTGTTTTCTTGCGGCAAAAATTGCTAAAATTTTTTTTACAAGATTTTGAAAGTTGAAAAGATTAAGCCGCTATGCTTCGATGTACTAGGAGTCTAAAACTCAAATATTTTTATTTTCCGCTATTTTTTCGACTCAAACGTACTGTAGGCTTATTCTCCAGAGCAAGAGCTACATTTTGGTACTATTGACAGCTCTGTACGTCAAAAGATAGCCGAGATACGAAAACTCACTTTGGAACAGCAAAAATTAACTAAAGAAAACCCAGACTTATAATTGTTATAAAAAATTTTCTAACAATTTTTGATGTAAGAAAACACCTTTTTAATAGTAATTCGACCACGGCGAACATTTTGAGATACTCGGCGCATTAATAGGACGTATGGCTGAAAAGTTACGGCTGGGGGGGGGGGGGTAAACTGCACTTAAGCCTATTGCGGCAGTGAAAACCTTAAAAGAATTGTTCATTGACACGACTCAAATCTAACTAGCCAATAGAACCATCTTTCAATTATTCTAATTTGCTCTATAACGTGCTTGTGGTGTTGTTGTTTTATGCTACTCGATGACAAAACTGCTATTTTTGAGGCCGTCGCAATGTTTTGGTAAGCCTGGATTACCTCACGCTTTATCCAGCTCGCTCTGTTTTTGGCGCCACGTCGATGGTGTCCGGAAAATATAGCACATCACAGCGCATTTAAAAGCTTTCAGAAGGGCTTTTGATTGATGGTGGCTCCGAGATAAAAGCCCAGTTTTGAATAGACCAGCTGTTGGCTTTGCTGACGACATCTAGCCAATGGAAAGTGTCGAACATGGGCTGACCGACAGGCTTTTGAGTGCTTGGAAAAACGGTTTTTTCTGAAATTGCGCCGGTTATCGGATTAAATTACAATACGTTACCCGTTTCTTGTTCTCAAATTAATGAGGTCCAGACGATGCAATGCCTAATGATCTGCATCTTCTCGTGGGGCTCCTCATTCTGTTTCTTCTTCCTCCCCCAATGGTTCCCCGGAAATTTCGGGATGACGATCGTGATGGGAGGGGTCTCATGTGCGGCAATAGCTGCCAACCCGACGATTCTGATCGCCTTCAACGAAAAGCTGAAGAGCGAGGCATGTGCACAGCTTGCTATGGTGCGTTCAATGTGTTGAGAATTGGCGGAGTGTTGATTGATGGTGGTGCTTTCATCCAGCAACCTCTAGATATCGAGAACGAGAGATAGCTAGAGAGAAGGAGAGAGAGAGAGAGAGAGAGAGAGAGAGAGAGAGCACTACTGCTTGCATAAACATACAGGGTGCGGAGAAAGTTTTCGATGGCAAAATTAGCTTTGTTTTCCCAGATTGCGTCTGCCAGCGCGGGTTTTTTCAATGGGAGACGAAAAAGTGGCGATTTGAGAAGCACTAGGCACCAACAGATCAACAAAAATTTTTCAATTTACTGGAGTAAATGCACTAAAAGTGTCGCGCTAAAATCGCCGTCGGCACGCAGCGTTTTTGGTGCTCCTACCGGAGGCCCTGTGCAACACTTCTGACCAAAATTCACGAGAGTTTGTGAACCTGTTGTCAGTACTATCCGCCATCATCCCATAAAATTACAAAGTCGCTGGGTGGAAAATAATTCATTGACAAATTCCTAGATGTAAAAATACATGCTGATTCCGAATTTGATACTCCGAAAGCCTGAAAATTTGATCTTTTTTTGCGAAAATCACGCTTTACTTTTTACCCCAAAACACGGTCAAAAACTAACTTTTTTTGCGTGAGGTTTTCAAGGTGCGCCATCGTGATATTCGGAATCACCGATGTCAAATTAGCCGGAATAAGTGTTTTCCGGATTTTTATTGGGTGTTTAGATACCATTTCCGGAAATCGAGAAGTATAAACCGACAACGGACCTTTAAAAGCCGTTTTCGGCGTATTTCAATAGCGGATCCAGAATCTACAGGGTCGATTGCATCGGAAATGATGTGTTTCTAATGCGAAGAAAACAAAATGGTTTTTCTAGAAGCATTTGTTTAGAAAGCGCAACCGCGAAAAGTCAGGTCGTGGAAAGGAGGGCTCGAAACAGGTCAAAAACGATTTTTCGCAGAGTTCTCTTGTACTACATCGGAAAGAGCACTATCGAATGTGCAAGAAAAAAGTTTGCAAAGAACAATTTAGTCTCAACTATTCTTCATGAACGAATGGGAAGCAATCAAAACTGCTAGCGAGTGGTTCGGAGTTTCAATAAAAGCTGTCCAGCTTTGGTTTATTTGGCCAGATAGTTGGACCATAGGTTTTCGTAAGCATTGGTTTCTGCTAAATGAGATTATGTTAGCCATTCCCCAGGGTAATTCTATACAAGTTCCCAATATGAGTATAATGATGAGGTATCATAGTAGCTGAAACAACAAACAACAAACAATATCAAAAAATAAAATCAAAAGTAGGGAAGGAAGAGGGCAACGCAACATCCTTACGCACAACACACTCTCTGTTGCAGTCTTCGCACTCTCGCACTCTTATCGTCTGCTGTCTCTTGCTTTCCACTGCTTCTATCCAAGGCCGCGCTGGGTAGATGGGGGAGAAATCTCCCAGGAAAGGGACGGCACCCATGGCGCAGTCGGTTAGCCCTTACTCTGACAATGCGATGCATTGGGGCGGGTCAGGTGATCGACTCCGGGTGCCGTCGACTATTTTTTTGACTTTTTTGCCTTTTGGCGGAAAGTTTCGGGATTGATTGCTGATCATGGTAATATGATTAATTTTTCTTCTAAGAGTCGCTTATTGCATTTCATTGGAGTTGGTTACGTTTTTTAGGGTTGAAGGTCCATCACACAGAAAACGACCAAGGAAAAGCCTCAAAAATTCCGGTTTAGATTTGTTTAATTCATGATTTCTTAAGTTTATTTATTTATTGCAATTTCATTTATATTTAACCAGCATTTTGAGTTCCATAAATCTAAAACCGGAAAATTACGTGAAAGCAAAAGCAGGACGTAATCAATTCCCTGATTAGCTTCATTTCGTTCCCTGCTTCGTTTACTAAAGGTGCCAAATTTCTTGCCACTTCCACTCTTATCTACTGGTGACGCTGATCGTCACTGGCTCACTTTACTTACTCACTCACTTTACTGGCTCTCCTCGAATGCTTTTCCCATTTTGTCAGAGTTTGACGTTTCTAAGAAAAAAGAAAGAGTAGAACATTGACGCCGCTTCGGACCTGAATATCCCGTGAACATCGAGTTATACCTTTGAACAAAGGTTTTCAAACAACAAAATAGATCGAAAATTAAATTACGGTAATATACTACGATACCTTCTCATTAAAAGCGGTCAATATCGACGGGTCTGCAGACTTGCTGTATTATGTATTATTATGTATGTAAGACCTGGGGGATGGCTAACATAATCCCATTTAGAGTAAATTGCTGTAGCGGTTGGAGTACGCAGGGAATTTTAAAATTTCTGATGGATTACCGTCCCAAAATTCTAAAAATATCAATATAGATTTTAAAGCAAAACCATTTGCCTTTGATTTATTAAACCGCACGGATTATCATCTGGGCCTGAAATTAGCATTGAACGGTGTACCAGCGGAATTTTACCACCAAACAGTGATCGGCTTCACTGCCCGGAACTTTAATGAAATGACGTTTCGCTGTCCAGATCAGCTCATCCGGGGATACCGTATATTCAAAATATCGCTCTCCCAAACTACGGTATCTCCCCGGATCTGACAATTGTCGGGGTCCCTCAATGCGTGGGCCGACTTTAACCCCCCGAAACCGGGTAATTGTGGGATCAGCGAGTGCGGTTTTGGCTTTGACATTTATCAATCGGGGACAATCCCGGAAACACCCTGTTCTTCAGAACCCTCAATTATAGTCAGCTAGAAACTGAACAAAAATGGAAGAATGGGCAACGTTCTCAGTTATCAAACGAAATGCGCTTTCTAGCAAAATTGCTTTGTTTTGTGTGCCATCTACAGGGCGTCCCAAAAAAACGACCCATCTGGCATTTTCCGTGTTACATCCAACCGGCCCCAAATTTGGACCAAGGGTGTATCAGACCTTAAATAACAACAACCCTGAGTTATAGCCCGATCGCTACATTTGTGGTCAAGTTATAGCCAAAATAATGTTTTTCACGCAATTCTAAACAGTTTTTTGGCTAGCTTTTTGGACTTTGCATCAATTTGCATCGACTTCCGGCTGCGAATCCCTAATTTCGCTTAAGAACTTGGGTAATTTTCTGCTGTAAAGATCGCTGAAATCGGCCCTTGTTTCACTGATTTTAGTCCGGTCCGTTGTAGGCTTACTGCTCGATTTCCGGAAATGGTATCTAAACACCCAATCAAAATCCGGAAAACACTTGTTCCGGCTAATTTGACATCGGTGATTCCGAATATCACGATGGCGCACCTTGAAAACCTCACGCAAAAAAAGTTAGTTTTTGACCGTGTTTTGGGGTAAAAAGTAAAGCGTGATTTTCGCAAAAAAAGATCAAATTTTCAGGCTTTCGGAGTATCAAATTCGGAATCAGTGACAAAAGGCTTAGCCTTGGCAGCAACAGGGCTGTCGCGAAAGTTGATTGCGTGGCTGGGTTGGGCGCTCTTCTTGCATAATAACATTCACCAATGTCCTCATCGAGTCGAGGTTGAAGTCCTGTGAAGTTGATGCCAGCTACAGTCGTTGCTTCTCTTCAGCTTCCCGAGCCAGCTGGATGATTTGGCTGCTATCCAGGTTCCTCAGGTCCGCCCGCTTAAGCAGTTGCCTCCTGATATGCGGCAAGGTTCTCTCAGTCATCCCTGCGACCATCTCGATTTCGGTGGTGTCCGGTGTGAGTTCCTCCTCGCTTCTCCGAAGCTCGTATGCAAACTGGAGCACCGTTTCCTGCGGGCCCTGGACCCTGGTGTGCATCCGTCGAAGCCCTTCGCACTTTTTCGTGTCGGAAGCAAACATTGCTCGGAAAGCATCCAGGGTTTTCGGGGTGGCCATTGCCCATCCAGGCTTGGCCGACCCACCTAGCAGCCTTGGGAAGGCGAGCTGGCGCGCAAGGGGAGTCGCTCCAAGGCTATTTCTGAGCATTCTCGGAAAAACGCATCCACGGATCGCGGATCTTCGTTTCCAAGAAAAGGTTTTACGAGTTCGATGATTAGTTTGGCTGCCTTGTGGTCTTGGCCCGTTGGTTGTGGGATTGGGGCAGCAGCGTTCGCCATTGGGTAAAGCTAGCTTGAGTTTCAAAAGGGCACGAAATGCAAAAAATTTTAAACTGGTTCTCGTATTGTTTGTAAAAAAAAATAATAAAAATGGTTGAAAAATAAACCGATGTTAATGGTTAGTAGTCTCAAAAATCTCAAAAGTCCCGGTTTTGAAACAACCTTGCAAAATATTAAAGAAAATATGCCCCGAGGCTGCCGGGCTCGAGCCCCGGACTCAGTGGAAACCCCTGCAGAAAGTCACCAACCCGGTCCAGAAGTCTATCGGCTAGCTTTGGTGTTGAATATAGGGGGCTTCGAATAGGGGATTTGGTCGGTTACCGTAAGCCTTGGTGTCTGGCCGCTGCCAAAGGGTTGGGAGGACTGACTGTGCCGGCCAGTCTTTCCCGGGGATCGGAGGGGGTTGGGCCCGATGTACTTTAAATGGCTCTGTTGTGTCAGCCCGTTCGGGGCGCGGGGCCATTGCGGGCCCTGCCGGCGCGCCAATTCCCTTAACGATCCTGGGAACCCTGTCACGGTCCCAGTTTAAATCCAGACACCAAGCCTTCAAGTGCACAACGGAGTGACCCCAAATTCGAAAAAAAACAACAATTTTGAGTGTCCTAGAAAAAGCCTTCACTCCGGTTTGAACCTTCCCCTGGGAGTCGAACGCGCCAGCCGACATTTTTATCATAATCTGGCGCTGCCTCAATTAAATTCCAAAAAGCGGACTCCATGGTTCACAATGGCGCTCGGGTTTGGGGCTAAAGATGCACAGTCGAAAGCAAGCTTGCCCGGTGAGTACGGCGCTATAAAGTGGGGGGAAACTCCACTTAAAATTTTGGGCCCGGGCTAAAATTACCATCACCGGAGTCGGTTCTACTCTTTCTTTTTCTTAGAAACGTCAAACTCTGACAAAATGGGAAAAGCATTCGAGGAGAGCCAGTAAAGTGAGTGAGTAAGTAAAGTGAGCCAGTGACGATCAGCGTCACCAGTAGATAAGAGTGGAAGTGGCAAGAAATTTGGCACCTTTAGTAAACGAAGCAGGGAACGAAATGAAGCTAATCAGGGAATTGATTACGTCCTGCTTTTGCTTTCACGTAATTTTCCGGTTTTAGATTTATGGAACTCAAAATGCTGGTTAAATATAAATGAAATTGCAATAAATAAATAAACTTAAGAAATCATGAATTAAACAAATCTAAACCGGAATTTTTGAGGCTTTTCCTTGGTCGTTTTCTGTGTGATGGACCTTCAACCCTAAAAAACGTAACCAACTCCAATGAAATGCAATAAGCGACTCTTAGAAGAAAAATTAATCATATTACCATGATCAGCAATCAATCCCGAAACTTTCCGCCAAAAGGCAAAAAAAGTCAAAAAAATAGTCGACGGCACCCGGAGTCGATCACCTGACCCGCCCCAATGCATCGCATTGTCAGAGTAAGGGCTAACCGACTGCGCCATGGGTGCCGTCCCTTTCCTGGGAGATTTCTCCCCCATCTACCCAGCGCGGCCTTGGATAGAAGCAGTGGAAAGCAAGAGACAGCAGACGATGAGAGTGCGAGAGTGCGAAGACTGCAACAGAGAGTGTGTTGTGCGTAAGGATGTTGCGTTGCCCTCTTCCTTCCCTACTTTTGATTTTATTTTTTTGATATTGTTTGTTGTTTGTTGTTTCAGCTACTATGATACCTCATCATTATACTCATATTGGGAACTTGTATAGAATTACCCTGGGGAATGGCTAACATAATCTCATTTAGCAGAAACCAATGCTTACGAAAACCTATGGTCCAACTATCTGGCCAAATAAACCAAAGCTGGACAGCTTTTATTGAAACTCCGAACCACTCGCTAGCAGTTTTGATTGCTTCCCATTCGTTCATGAAGAATAGTTGAGACTAAATTGTTCTTTGCAAACTTTTTTTCTTGCACATTCGATAGTGCTCTTTCCGATGTAGTACAAGAGAACTCTGCGAAAAATCGTTTTTGACCTGTTTCGAGCCCTCCTTTCCACGACCTGACTTTTCGCGGTTGCGCTTTCTGTTGTGGGCGCTGGCCTTTACCGTCGTAATGTGTCTTACCGCGAGACTACTATGTACACTTGGACCCTGTAGTCTCCCGACCCTTTCCAGCCCCACCAGATTGTAGGCCGTTTGGTCATTCTGATTTATCTGGCTTTTCTGCCTCCCGCTTGGCGATTGCTCTACTACCCTCACGATTGTCTACATTCGAAGGATTGTGATCAAGACTGGCGTTGTTGGCGACTACATTGGGATAAAGGTTTATTGCGATATTCCGTGTCGATCAGATATCCGATTGTCGACACGAAGTGTGTGTTCCTTGTGAAAGCTAGGATCACAACAACTGGCGAGCAAAGGATTCGAACTCAAGCAACGGATGAGCCACCCGTCATCCGAAGACGAGGAGCAAGTAACCCCGAAGGCCAACAAGAAGCGCCCGCAAGCCTCTACGTCCACCAACCCTTCACCATCCAGTGCGCCGCCCGAAGATAAGAAGGCGAAGATCACCATGGAGACTGCAGACGTCACGAAGTTGATGTCCGAGATGATGGACAAGCAGAAAGAGCAAATCGAGCTCATGCTGACTCGTGTGGCAGAGATGATGACCGGCAAGGCAACCGCCATCAAGCAAGAAGGGGACCCTGATGCCGAGCAAATGCAAGTTGATCATCCACGCGTCGATGGAGAATCCGCGAGGAAACTTCACATGCGCACGCTCAAGGACTCGATTCTGTTGCGGCTACCCAAGTTCACTTTCAACGAAGAAAGTGGTGCTACTTTTGAAGCATGGTATGCGCGCTACAAGGACGTGATCCTGAAGGACGGTGACGTTTTGGAGAAGGAGGATCAACGGCGAATCGTTCTGGAGAAGCTCGACGAGGACGCGTACGAGCGCTTCATGAAGTTCATCTTGCCCAAGAAGGCCGAAGAGCTGGACTATGATGAGACGATTGGCAAACTTACGGAGCTGTTTTCGCCCGTAAAATCGCTTATTTCTCGCAGATTTGCTTTCTCAAAACTTCGTTTTCCAGGCGGCGACATGGACGACTTGGTCAAGCATATCGACGCGATCAAGTTCCAGTACGAGCGTGCTGAGATGAGAGGGATCTCGGAGGCCGCTCAGAAGTCGCTCAGCCTGCTGCTCTCGTTGAAGGGGCCGGAAAACGAGACGTTGCGCGCGCAGATCATGAAGCATGTCGAGGAGAAGCCTGATGCTTCTCTCGATGAAGTCTACAAGTCGGTGAAGCACTACATGACGCGCAAGGAGGATGCCAAGCTCGAGAAGGAGGAGCGTGAGACGTTCGCTGTAAGAAGGGAGTCGCGTGACAAGGACCGAACCGTGGCCAAGTCTGATGTGAAGCGAGATGTGCAATGTTACAATTGTGGTGGACCTCACTTCAAGCGCGAGTGCCCGGAACTTGCATCAAAGCCTAAGGAGAAGCGTGCTGATACTCGCAGGGATTACCGAAAGCGAGACAGAAGGAGGGTGGATCACAAGAAGCCTTCCGCGCATGTTCACTCTACAATGGTGGCGTCTACTCAAACGCAAGGTCTCAAAAGTGAACGCTTGTTTCACGACGTGGAGATTGATGGCAAGAAGCTGCGAATGCGCGTCGATACCGGCGCAGATGTGACGATGGTCAAGCATTCGGATTGGAAGCAGCTGGGATCGCCTCGCCTGTCTCGTGCGAAGCTTCGCATGACAGCGGCGAATGGCAGCGCCATGCATATCTACGGGATGTTCAAGTGCCAGTACGCGCTCAATGGAAAGGCGTACTCTGGCGAATGCAACGTCGTCGATGGAGTAACTCTTTTGGGCATGGACTGGCTCAAGCCGACGGACGCCTACAAGAAGTTTCGTGACGCGTTGGACGTGACGGTGTGCGCGGTCAATGAGGATGAGGAGATGCGTTTCAAGCAGGAGCTTGAACGCGAATATCCTGCGGCGACCAAGGACGGACTCGGACTGTGTACCAAGATGGAGGTGCGGCTACAGTTGAAGTCGGATGCGACACCCAAGTTTTGCAAGGCCCGCCCTGTACCGTTCGGAGCTACAACGGAGGTCGCGGCCGAGATTGAGCGTCTCGTTGCTGCCGATGTGCTGCGCCCTGTGGATTTCTCGAACTGGGCAGCACCGATCGTGGCTATCAAGAAGAAGAACGGCACCATGCGCATGTGTGCTGACTTCTCGACGGGACTCAACGCGGCGCTGGAGGACAATCATCATCCATTGCCCACCGCCGACGAGATTTTCGCACAACTGAATGGCGGTACGATTTTTACACAAATCGATCTCTCGGAGGCTTATTTACAATTGGCCGTGGACAAGGATTCGCAAGAGCTGCTGACGATCAACACTCACCGCGGATTGTTCCAATTTCAACGTTTGCCGTTTGGAGTGAAGACGGCGCCCGCGATATTCCAGAAGGTCATGAATTCGTTGATCAACGGACTGGACGGAACAGCAGCTTACCTGGATGACATCATCGTCATGGGTACTTCGAAGCGAGAGCACGACGAGCGTGTGAAGAAAGTGTTCGCGCGTCTACACGACTTCGGGATGAATGTACGATTGGAGAAGTGCACGTTTGGCCGGAGCCAAATCAAGTTCCTTGGATTCATCATTGATGCGGATGGGAGAAGACCGGACCCGATCAAGATTGCCGCAATCAAGGACATGCCTGCACCAACGACTCTATCGGAATTGCGTTCGTTCCTTGGCGCTGTTCAATTCTACGGATCTTTTGTTTCGAAATTGTCTTTGCTACGTAAACCTCTTGATGATTTATGTATAGTGAAAAATTCTGAGAAAAGAACAACTCAGCATTCCCAGAAAAAAGACAAAGCTGGAATGGACAAAAGATCA